GCTTTATTACAGTTCAAACCCTGCAGATCAGAGCTGCAGCTGCTTTAATACAGTTCAAACCCTGCAGATCAGAGCTGCAGCTGCTTTAATACAGTTCAAACCCTGCAGATCAGAGCTGCAGCTGCTTTAATACAGTTCAAACCCTGCAGATCAGAGCTGCAGCTGCTTTGTTACAGTTCAAACCCTGCAGATCAGAGCTGCAGCTGCTTTGTTACAGTTCAAACCCTGCAGATCAGAGCTGCAGCTGTTTTATTACAGTTCAAACCCTGCAGATCAGCTGCAGCTGCTTTGTTACAGTTCAAACCCTGCACATCAGAGCTGCAGCTGTTTTGTTACTCTGTATTCATTAGGAATATTAATATTTGAGGAAATCTTCCTGTTGCAGGTACTTTGTGTGGTGTTTCTGCGCTCTCTGCTCCAAGATGAACTTCCTGAACGACAGCTACACCTGGCCTCTGCTGGTCTACATGCTGCTCATCTGTATTTACCCCTTCACCTCCAGCTGTGCTCACACCTTCAGCACCATGTCCCCCGAGTCCCGCCACATCTGCTACTTCTTCGACTACGGAGCCCTCAGCCTCTACAGCCTGGGTAAAGCTCCCGCCCCGGTTTAAGAACTCTATCTGATGTTAAATAAAATGTTTGTGGTTCGTTAGGATTCATGAGTTCACACTGATGCAGCTGCTGCAGTGACCTGCTCAGGTGTGTCGAACACAAACAACCTTTACTTACAGGAAAACAAACTGTTTGTGACTAAATATTCCCACAATCAAAAGATCAGAACGTTTTATTAAGCAGTAAGATCAGTGAGTTTGAGTCTTAATTTAACATCAGAGGTGATTAGTAAAACAAGATAACAGAATCTTTTAATGTTTAAATCTAAAGATTTAAAGAAGCTCTTCTCCTCTGTTTGTTCATGATGTCCAAGTTGTTTATTATACTTTATAAATCTAAACCTTGAAGCTGACCTGGATTCTTTTGGACATCATCAGATATAAGTAGTCAGTCAGTAAACGGTGTGAAAATCTTTTTTATTTATTTATAAAAACAAAACAAAGGCTGACATGTCAGCAAAGAAAAGCTGGGAATCGTTAGGAGTTGATGAACGAGACCAGACTGTGGCTAAAACTAAAACTAAAAATAAAAATAAACAGTATGCTGATGAGTGAAGAACAGACCCAAAGACCTGTCTCTTTTCTCTGGCCTTTGAAAACCATTTGTATTATTTTTATTATTTATTATTTAATTGTTACTGATAATGAGTGAATGAATGTTTTATTACGTGTGCAGCACTTTGGTCCTGTGGGTGTTTAAAGTGCTCTGTAAATAAAGCTGGTGTGATGAGAAGGAATTGAATTGAATAGAAATAGAATAGAAATAGCCTTTTATTGTCTCGCTGAGGGGAAATTCAGGTGTCACAGCAGCATCAGTACAGAGGTTCACACAATTTACAAACTATAGACAATGCACAAAAAACGAAATTATCACTAACTAACAATGATACTACTACTACTAATAAAAATATAATAAAAGGTTGTGCAAGAATAAAAATATGTTTTGTTTTAGAGACTGTAGTTACCTATCAGAATTTGACATTAGAAATCAGAATATGCCTATTTTAAATGAAAAACACTCACAACTGTAAAGTATGACATTGCAGGTAACAGACTCAGATGTGCAAAAACAGCAGAAATGTTATTTTAAGGTTTTTAAATGGGTAATAACAGAGCAACTGATGGCTCAGATTAGTAATATAAATGAGTAGTTGTGCAAAATGATTGTTCAGATGAGTAATGATAATGAATAGTAACAGTAATGATTAACATTAACTAGTTTGGCGCCCCTCAGTGGTTTTTATTAGGAACAACATTCATTCAGTCTGATAAATATTCTAAAATATACATGAAGCCTACAGGTGCTAATGCTAATAAAATAATCCTAATCTCCTCAGTTATTGTCTTATTAAATAAACACAGTATAAATTTAATAATCATAACTCTGCTTCATACAACAGAGTGCTACAGTCACACAACGAGATTATTTATTTTGAATAATATTATTAGTAATATTAGTGACATAATGACTTTAATATCATAATATTATGA